GTATGTTTATTTCCATTTTGCTTAATTAGCTGCTATTTTTGCCTCAGACCAATAGACTCTCAGCCCCGTGAATTAGGAGATTCTGTTCACCACTATAACTAAATATCCTAGAAAAGTATCTTGTAACAGGTTTTCAATAAACATTTGTTGCCAGAGTAAATGATTCTCCACTGTGAACCACCTAGTCCAGGCAAGTATCATCCCTCACCTAAGTCACTGTAATCACTTCCAACTGACCTGCTATTTCTCATATGTTTTCTTTACAAACTTTATTTTTGCTCACAAAGATATAAATGATCTTTTTAAAATCTACTTATCATACTAAACTTTTTAAAAAAATTTACTATTACCATTAGAAGAGTCCAAACTGCAAAGACATTCTAGAATGCTCTGTATGATGTGGTAGCATTTACACATAACCCTACATAGATTTTTGGGGCCCTGTTTTTTGGTGACCCTGGTGTTACTTTACTGTTCAACTTAACCTCATCTCTTTCCCGCAATCATTCTTTGCCTCATCAACCTATTTTGATTGTCCTGCATTTATGGGATCTGAAATATTCTGTCTTGCTTGTTAATTGCCAGCATTGCTTTATCATTAATGTAAAATTCATGACAACAAGGCACTGCACTGCTGTCTCAGTGATTTCATTTGTATTATTATCTCCATAAACACTCATAACAACCCAGCTGGAACACATACTATTGTCTTCATTTTACCTTGAAACAACTGAGACCTCAGTTAATTGATAATTGCCTATTTATGGTCTACCCATTTTACAAGAACAGGTCTCTTCAAGGCACTCAATAAACATTGTTGCATGAATAAATGAATTTACTATGTGACCTACCTACCTAGTTCAGTCCAGCATCATCTCTTACTTGGGTCACATGTCCTGTACATCATATGCATCATTGTATACTCAAAGCAAGCCTTAAGTAGTCATATAATAACTACTCAAGAAATATACATTAAAAGATTTTGTGAATAAGTAGGGGGTCTACAGTGAAAACCAAAAACCCAAGCCCTAGACTTGAGCAACATATCATACCCAAGTCCAGATATTACAGTTTATAATAAATTTTAAAAATGCATCTCTATCATTAAAGACAAATATTTGCAATTAATCATTTTGCCAATGAGAGAGCAAATTACAAGTTTAAAAAACTGAGAGATTGGTCAAAAAATTCTAACATCACAGTGCTCTGGACTATGACAAGGCTCTAGGAGTGGTAATGGTGAGTGAGGTTTCTCGGTGTTTTTTGTTTTTTTGTTTGTTTTGTTTTGTTGTTTCTTCTTTACCAAATCGTTTTTATTTCCCCATTGAGACTGACTGTGTTTTGGTCTTTTATAATCTAAACTGTCTTTCATATTCTCTCTCTCTCTCTCTCTCTCTCTCTCTCTCTCTCTCTCTCTGATTTTCCATGCATATCTCTTTCATACTGTTGTGTCTTTCTTTGAGGAGAATTGTAGGGTTACCCTTGGGGTTGAGAGGTTTCTGGAGCAGAAAAAGGATGCAAAGTCTAGTTGTGGAATTTCAGCAATACAAAAATTCAATTCTAAAGATTCCTATTTGGAAGTAAAAACCATTCCTACCTTCCCACTTCACACAAACTTCTCCCTTCTTTAGATGATTTTCAATTAGATAGGTCTCTGTTTGACCAGAAAATTGAGCAAATTGGCAAATCTGAAATTATTGAGTGGCAATTTAGGATTTTGACAGATGAGTGGGAAAGGAGTGGTTGTAACCGATATCACTCTGGAGTCCTACTTCCATTTGGAAGTGCTCCAAGAATATAAGGCAGGAGGTAAACTCAGTAAGGAGACTTGAAGGTCAAAGTACTCCTATTAATGCATAGCTTAAGCATAATCTCATGTCTTAGTTTAAAATATAAAAATTGTTTAATTTATATTCCTTTAAATTTATTATTTGTTAAGTTCTAAACTTTAAAAAATATTATTCTACAAATTACAAACATAGTCTAGGAAATGTGCCAATTTTTAAGTGACAATATTACTTTAAAAACTTGACTATTATTTTCTAACTAAACTCATATCTTCCCACTTTATTTATACATTTATTTATTTATTTTAGTACTGGGGATTGAACTCCGGGGCACTCAGCCACTGAGCCACATCCCCAGTCCAATTTTGTAGTTTATTAGAGACAGGATCTCACTGAGTTGCTTAGCGCCTCACCATTGCTAAAGCTGGCTTTGAATTCCTGATCCTTCTATCCCAGCCTCCCAAGCTGTTGGGATTCCAGACTTGTGCCACAACACCCAGCCCACTTTATGTTTTAAGTCATAGGTCTCCAAATGCCTTGAGACCCTCATACCATCCCCATCCCAAGATCCACTCCCACTCAGTGTTTGGAGGACTGGAGGTCATTCCAAAATGTTTATAGTCCTTTGAGTATAAGTCTCAATACCTTCAGGTAAACACACTCAGGGTCTAGAGAATAAAGTCTCTATAATACATTATAGAAAAATATACCCTCAACATTTGTTGCAAGATTTGGCAGAAGGTAGGCCCCAGTTGTCTGCAAATGGTTTCCCATCAGGGAATTTCATTCACAAAGAAATTAAACAGATTCAACTTTAGTAGAGTGAATTGCATTTTTCCTTCATACAATCTGAATTCAGCATATAGCCTCCTTCCTACTTGACTTGAGATTCTAAGTAATCCCATTCATCATTTTAGCAAAGTAAAGAAAATGTCAGTCACTTAGATCATTATAAGAAATGCAGACTGTATACTATCCCCTATAGAATTTGACTAAACCAAAACAACTAAATTGACCTGTGTAGGAAAAAACTCAAAACAATAAAATATTGGCAGCTTACAAACATGCAATTCAGGTATTATGGAAATAAGCCAACTGAAATCACTCAAGAAGCAAAAATAAAGCCAATTCACTAAGTTTGAATGTCAGAAAGATTTTCAGGTAATAGCATGTAAAGTGAAGGGTACCTTTAGAGTGACAATGTAAATTTCAGCAACCTGAATCTTTCCTTCAGAGAGTAACAATTCACAGGAATTCCAAAGGAATATATTCTTAATAAAATTGTAAGACCTTTTCCTGTGAATGAATTCTGCTCTTTCTGTCATGTTCAATTTTATCTGTTTTTGTTTTCTTACTTTAAAAGACGGCTTCAAATCCTCTTGTGTAATTAGATGGGATTTAAAGTGTAAAAATATTATGAGAAAAAGAATTAATATTACGAGTTTCTACTGTGCGTTAGGTGCTTCCTCACTTAAACCTTGTAACACCTTAAAAACCTACCTTCATGTTATAAAGTCCCTAACAGAGGCTTGGAAACGACATGAGATTTTCAAGTTTATATAGCTAATAATGTCAAGTGTTGAAGCTGAAACTCTCACCCCCATTTGAACTCTCAGCATGTAGCTTATATCCTAAACAAATTTACTTTTACATTAAAATTATATAATAACCATAAAATTCTATCAAATATAATTTATATGTGATGCATATTATATTCATCTTCTATTTGTGTGTGTGTGGGGGGGCGGTGCTGGGGATTGAACCTAGGGCCTCCTGCATTCGAGGCAAGCACTCTACTAACTGAGCTATATCCCCAGCCCAATAGTATATTCATTCACATAGTAAAATGATCTCTGATTTCAATTGGATTCTCTGACATTATTTAAAGAGAGAAGGAGACTTTCTATACATCTGTGCTAAAGTCATGTGTCATGGTCAGATATGGCTTGCCTAATTCACTTTGGTGTTTTCCAGTTACAGTAAAAGCTTGTCCCTGCCAGGCATAGCTCTCGCTGTCTCCATGGAGGCTGGTGGACACTTAGTTTTCCTTTTCCTTTTTTTACTTGTGGTCCTACTTCTTCATTGAATTCACGGCCATGCAGTCAGCCATTTTAGAGGGACTAATTAAGTTCATGATAATTGTAGAGGATTTGTGAGGTGAATTGGATGGTGCATTTCATGGGGGCAGATGTATCAGTTGGTTTGTTCTAATAGTTCTACAAATTTTGGCATTAGGGCGTTTTTTTCTTTCTTTCTTTCCTTTTTTTTTTTTTTTCCCCTCCACCAGAGACTCTCTACCTGGAATCACTTCCTCTGTCTCACCCTTCTTTACCTGGCAATTTCCTTATAGACATTTAAATTAACTTTCTTAAGAATCTTTGTGTAACACAGGCTGTTAATATAATTTTTGTGTCAACATACCATCCCCCCTTTAAAATGAAAGCTTGAGAAACTTTTAAGAGTGGCTCTCAAGCAAGGTTTAAAAACAGATTTTTTTGACCCACAAAGAAGTTGGAGTTGTTAGGGTGGAAGATTCACTTCTCTCTCCTTCCTCAGCTGTACTCAGGACCTGTAACAGAAGAACTTCTTCTGCCAGTCTTAGGCACTCTGGAAGGAGCATTCACCACTCTGGAGTTTGCACTGGAATTCAGCTCCACATCTTAGGAGCTGCTTAGCTTGAGCCTGTTATTCTCAGTCTCCAAAACTATACAATGAGAATTATATCTACATTCTAAATACCCCCTGAATGCTAAATGATTTTAATGCCTAAAAAACTAAATAATTCTTGGCAGATTGTAAGCACTTACATTACCTAGGAAAAAATCATGTAGATCCAGCTTCCTTTTGGTTTTTCTAGTCTCACTTTTTCGTGGCCTGCTAACAAATGAACTTCCTGTTACATTATATTTCTCTTAAGGCTTTATCCCATGAGGAAAAATGTTAATAATAGTATGGATTTATATTTTTTTTTCGGCACATGGACTGTTGTGTGATATGCAAAAATATGCTTTGCTTTTATGCTCTTGGCATGCTCATGAGGAGAACTGTATGGGTACAACTGCAAGAAAATTCTGTAATAAATTAAGACTGAGCTGTACTTAACATAAGGGCTTAGCCTGGAATGTGGTGTGTGTGCAACTCTGATTGCTCCAGTCACTAAACCATAATTTGCCACAGAACTAAGTTTGAAGAATTTTAAGAGTGGAAACTTACAGGAAGCAGGCAGTTTTGCTGACATTTGATAATATCTAGTTGTCAATGAGATTTTAAAAGGTACACATGCTCATGTCAATTCCTGGAAAAAAAAAAAAAGAAAAGTAAAGAAACATACAACAGGAACTTACATGATGAAAAGTAATGTTAAAACATTTTGCAAGCATTTCAAATGGGATCATGTGATTGCTAATGTTTACAATTCATAAGTTAAATGGTATTGGCTAATCAAAGAAAGCACTTGGGATAAGAAAGAATTCAGAAATGGTTGTGGTTTGTTTTGTTTTGTTTTTATACTTTGTAATGATCCCAGAGATTTGAGGAAACCTTTCAAGCTGAATATATTTTCCCTTTGGCTCATTATTTACTTAACAATAGGCCATTTATTTTGGCAGGAGAAAATGTACCAGTTCAATATCAAAAGGCCTATGAATTCTAACCTTCTTTATTGCCTACTATATCATTTGAGAATTTTTGTTAACTGAAAAAAATGATGATTTTCTCTATATTGGGATTTCTCCCAGCTTCTGCGATTTTAGTTTCTATAATTTTAAGTGCATATTTAAAATAAATTGCTTTATTTGATCACATGTATATTTTCCATTAATAAAATCCAGTAGAGATATTTGACATCGTATATGCATTTATGAAAAATAATGCATTCAAAAAGTAGCTCTAAAGATAACTGGAGCTCACTAAGTATATCATCTTAAAGATCCCACCTAATAACAGTTTTCTTATTGCATAATAATATTAATTTATACTCAGCATTATGAATTATTCATGCAAGGGACAGAGCTAGATATTTTAGTTGTGAATATTAATTTATTAATAATTTTTCCCCAACACATTTACCTGCACTCTATGCACAGGACAAAGCCCAGCCATACCCCCTCCATCACCAAGAGTACAAGTTTCTGGACCGACTCTGGCGACACCTGTTCTTGAAGGCAAGTATTTTGTTTTATTTTTTATACAAAGACCTCTATTGTGGATACATTAGAATGTGGAAGAATAGAAAAAGAGTAACTAAGGTAACAAAATGCAGTATTTTCACCCATGGTTTTGTTATGAATAAAGTACAATATACTTTCCTAGAATTCCAATTTGCTCCTTTTAAGAAAAGGAAACATTTCCTCTTAATATTCTATATTGGTGAACTTTAGCTTCCATATGGATTACCAGATTACTGCCCTGGAATTCAAGCCAAAAAACATATAGTTTTACATCATGTACAACCAGAAGAATGAGAAATTATATTCCATTTTTTTTATGATGTGTCAAAATGTATACTACTATCATGTACAACTAATTAGAATAACAAAAAAAAGTTTAAGTAGAAAAAATATATAGGGACAAATAGTCAAGATTATGCCTTGCAATTCTTGCAAATTTACCAAAACTTACTCAATTTGTTTGGTCTGCAGACTTTAATGTAAGAAGTTCTGAGTTTGAATGTGAGCTCCAATTTTTGCAAATTTTCTAAATTTGACATGTTACTTAAATTCACTGTTCATGAGTTTTTCTGTCTCTAAAATTGGGTTACAATAGTACTGACCTTCTAGGGTTATTGGGAGGATGAATGTATGAGTGTGTGTGTGTGTGTGTGTGTGTGTGTGTGTGTGTAAATCATGTATATGATATCTATACAGCTTATAAATGGTTCAATATAATTAGTAGTAAAAATACTATCAATAGGTAATTCTTCAAAATATGATGCTGCTTGAAGATCAGCCAAATAAAATGAGGGGAATTTCATTAAAACCAAATTTGTTAGAATTTTAAAGTCACTTCTTTTAGTCTTATTAATTCCATCAACTATTATTTATTGAATCTCAACCATAGGATCATGTCAGATATTGTCCAAAGGACTAGAGGTTTGGAGATTGTTTTAGCTTCTTTGCTGCTGTGAGTATAAGCTGTGACCAGGACAAACAGTCATTTCTCCTCTGAACCTTCTTGTATTGTCTCACATGTGCACTTTTGGGGAACATCTCACATCCAAACCATAACAGAGATTAATAGAAAAGCATTTCGTGCTTGCCAACACTCAGTGTACAGATACAAAATATACAAGCAATTAGAGTGAAGAGCACCAGTGCATTTTTACCAAGAGTGAACTTGGAGATCTCCTCCACGTCACAGCCCCCTTTCTACCTCTAGCTATGTCCCACACTGAAAGGGACCTTCTGTTTGCATAGGTGGATATCCCAGCCTGCCTGTATAAGTTCTGTCCACTTTGCCCACAGATGTCCATTGGTTTTGGCCACCCCATGAAACTAGGAGTGAGCACACTAATGAGGATTCATTCAGGAATAGGCCCACTGGCATCAGAGTAAGAATTCTTAGGGGAAAATAAATATCTCAGGGGCCCAGGATCTAAAGGGCATGAGAGAAGACATTCCAGGTGGCTATACTCTGTCCACTCCACAGACTTCTACCTTGGGACAGGGTGCAGCCACAGGAGGACTCAGCAGAACTCTATATAAAACACAGGGTGTCCAGAAGGGCACTTGATTTCTGGTTCCTAAGAGGTGAGCAGAGGTGTGCTGATTATTAAAGTGTCATCAGAACTGGAAAACATAAGTCAGTTTAAAGTGCCATGAACGTTTAGAGGAGGGTTGATGTGAATCTGCTTGGAAGAGGTGAAGAGGACGCCAGAAACATCTTCTCAGCAAGCAGGCAAGGAAGGCAAAAGCATTGCTGGATCAGCACACACAAAGAGAGGAGAGAGAAGAGAGAAAGGAGTTCACAGAGAAAGGTCCACAGAGCATAAGTAGTTCAGCTGGGAGAGAAAGAAGCAAAAAGTGAATGGAGAGAGTTGGGGAGTTGAAAGAAAGGCATTGGGAGGGTATATCATTAAGAGCCTTGCAAAGCTAACCTTGAGATTTCTTTTTATTTTTAAATCTTTATTATAAAACATTGACAAACTCCCATTATATGCAGAGTTATCAACATTTTATTAAACATTTTTATTCTTACTTTAATCCTTTCCTTCTTTCTAAATTCTGGTTATATTTTAATTTCCTTCACAAATCTCTGACATCAAAATATTTCACCAGATCAATATTTTTTTTTTAATTTGAAATGTTTGACTCATTTACATGATATGAAACTTAAAAGTAACAACAAAAATGATATAGAGTGAATTTTTCCTTCCAGGCCCTATCTTACAATGACCAGTCTCCTCCCCATAGGCAACTGGTATATTAGTTCCTTATGTAATCCTACACAGATATTTTGTGCATATAAAAGTTCAAATATTTCCTCTTAGGCAAAGAGATCTTTTTTTTGTTGTTGTTCCTAAAAAATGATGGAGAATTTCCAGTGGATGGAATAAGCAAATCAACTTAGCAATCATCCTAATGGCTAGACTGTTGCAATGAGATTTTGTTGCAGTGCTTAGGAAAAGATCAGCCCAATCAAGTTGTAAGGCCTGAAATAAACAAAGGGTTTTGGTAGAGAGAAGCATATGTATCAGAAAGATGTTTGACAAGCCATTTAATTGATCAAAGAATCTGATTAAACATAGATGCTAAGGGAAAACAAAGAATCAGAATGACTTCATGCTTTCTGAATTAGATATCCAGGTGGACTATAATTTGATAAGAGCAGAAACCATAGAAATAAAACAGAAGAGCAGAAAGGTGATGTGTTCAAACTCTCACACGGGAGTTTCTTATGGGTCACCCAGGCATAATTATTGAACAGACTATTCTATTAGTTTATGTGCTGCCGAAATGAGTACCAGACTATTCTAAATAAGCACATGGAACTTAAGAAAATATTGTATGTTCTTTTTTTTATCTGCAATCAAATGCACATGTAACCTATTCTCTTCTCTATCCCTTACCCCTCCCTTTTATCTCCCTCAAATTCTATTCCAAAATGATTGTACCAATAAAGAAGAGGAGATGTCTGAGGCTACTTTCAGTTTATTTAAGGTACCCTATAAAGGTCACCACCAATGCTCTCCTAGTAATTTTTTTTCTTACTTAAATAGAGTGTGGGAATCCTGTGTCTTGGATCATACTATAGTGATTGAAAGTCTGTGTTTACAAAATAAAACTATAATAATTACTATTATATTATTGTATTTGACTTTGATGAGCTTAGGGAATTCTCCCAGGACTGAATTTTATTGGCTTAGTACAATTTTTCACAAAGAGTTTGTAGGTTGAAAGCATCAAAATCAATTATAAATCTCCTTAAAATGCATATTCCTACCATATCTTGTATCTATCTAGCAAACCAGATTCTCTAGCATGTCAGACAGGAAAGAAATCTCCATTTTTAAAAAACACCTCAGCTCAATCTTTACACATTAAATTTTGAGAGCTACTGTTTTTTTCCTATATATAACAAACCTTACACAGACAATCAATTGTTTTACACCAAATATTAGAAGTTGGTAGTCCTCTTCAAGTATCCTTTTATCAATTTTTTTATATTAAATTTGCTTTGGTAAGGGGTAAATTGTACAACTGACCACCAATTCCAATGATTCCTATTTATTATGCTTTTATTATTCACACATTCAATGGCCAGGGAAAGATTTGAATAGTTGAGAATGTGCTCTTTTCCTACAATTGTGTTCCAACATGAGCATGTTTTCTGCACTTGGGCAACCAGATCCTGACCAAGCCATGCCTGTACTCTACTCTTCAACTCACATTTATTTTGAGTGTTATGTTTGCTTTCTTTGCATGTACTTTATAGTTATATTCAAAAATCATGAAAAGTAGTTGTTATCAGTAACAATGAGCAAATGAAGACTTTGAATTTGTTTGTGAAAAAAGTCAATGGGAGGACTGGGATTCAGCTCTGGATTCCCAGTTCAATGCTTAGGAATGACTCTAATATATGACAATGTAGTACTTGGAGTATGAGGAACCCTATACTCTATACTTCTGAAACAATAAGTTTTGGAATATGAAGACAAAAAAGTTTTATGCTTTAGATTCCATGCAGTTCTCTAATGGAAACATGATATTTTGATGGTGATCACAAGTACCCTGGCCATACTTTCAAAATTGAAGGTACTCATAAATCATCTGAGAATGCTGTAAAACTGTATTCAAATTTATTAGGTCTGGGCTGGGTCCTGAATTTCTGCATCTTCATTTCTTGTAAGTATTACTGATGCTGTTGTACAGGATCCTATCTGAGTGGCAAATCCCTAGATTATGTTAGAATGAGGTCAAGGGCAATGTTGTATTTCTAAAAAGGCTTCTAATGTAGATTTAACCACATGAGTCTCCTGTTAAATGGGTCAAATGTCCTTCTGAAAGACTGGAATGCTACTCATGGAGACATTTTGTCCTCTCATTGTCTGGAAAAACAGGAAGTGTTTCAGGTCAAGTACCTAAAGCATTCCAGAAAGACTCACAAAAGAGCAGGAGAAAAGTCAATGGGAATGGGGGTGGGAGTCAAATTTACTTGTAAATTACAACTACCTATTACATAGTATTTAAAATATTTCGCTTTGTTCATCTGTACACATTGGATGAATTATCAATTACAAATTTCAAATTAAAGTTCCATACAACCTGTAAGTCAGTATAATATTAATACCAATCTGATGAAAAAAGTGGGGGCAGGGAAGAATGCTATTCTTTGGTTATTGGACACCATAATTTAGCCTAGTTTGTGAGTATCTTCCTCATAGACTCCACAATGACATTCTTTCTTTAGCAAAATGGTTAAAACCTAAGTAGTCCAGGGTGTGGAACTCTTGTCTCCCATCCCCCTCAGTCAACACACTTCATGTTGGCTCACAGGAGCCTTTCATTTATTTGTTTTTCAATGTGAATGCATGGAATGGAGTGAGTTCCCGAGCCACCTTTAACTCCCATGCCTCCACTTCACCCATTCACCCACTTGGCTCCAGACATCATTTCTCTGTGTGAGAGAACTGTGTGAGAGAACAATGTGAGAAGAATTTCTCCTTGATATAAAGTTTTTAAGTTCCTTATTGACCTTGTTGTCTTACAGTTCTGACAAAGGCCCACAGGATAGGTTAAACAATAGGAATTCGTTTTCTCATAGTTCTGGAGGTTGGAAGTCCAAGATCAGGGTACCAGCTGATGAGGGCTCTCTTCCAGATTGCTTTCTCTTTTCTCACCTGCAGAGAAGAGGAGAGCTCCAGGGTCTCTCCTATAAAGATACCAGTTCTATAGGAGCAGGGTTCCACACTTCTAACCTCATTTCTTTCTAACCTCTCAAAGCCTCCATCTCCAAAGCAGTCATATGGGGTCAGTGTCCGCACTGCAACATATGCATTTGAGCTGGAGACACATTTAGTTTATAAGACTTGGTAACCTGTAAGCTTAGTAAAGATATAAGTAAAGCACTTGAAGTGCTTACATCATGTAATTAGAGTTGTTTAAATATTTCTTTTTGAGGACCAATGATTTTCTCTTTCATTTCCATCAGAATTTTTATGTAGAATAGATTCTTGACTTTAATCATCTTTTGTACATGCTTTTAACTGATAGTAGTTACATATTTTTAAATTTTTGACTAAAATTTAAGTTTATTCTGAAGGTAATAACAAAAATGGAGTCATGTCATCACTGGCTAGTACTATATGTACTTTACCTAAAGAGTAAACAAGTGATTTAGAACAAATCCTCTAGATCACAGTCTAAAAGACAAAGAGAAAAATCATAGTTGTATTTCTTTTGACATTTAGATTTAATAATTCATGTGACTTGAGATAATTTAACACAAAATTGGCAAGTAACTATGTCCCTGCCCAATGTCCACAGGACAAGAGGCAGTTTGTAAATAATAGTGACACCTGAAGTTGTATCATATTCTAACAAGATGGACATAAATCAAAGAAATCAGATTTCCCAATTTGAGGAAGATGTTGATAGTCAGATTATGCAAATGTTTGCCTTCAATTTATCTCCTAGCAGAGGTTCATAAAACACTAAGTAGCAAATGTTTTGCCTGTCAATCTGTCACCTGGAAAACAATGTGTCATTTGTTAAGTGAGACACTTAAGCTTCATTGTTATATTTAAAGAGTGATTTAATTTGACATTTTATTCTAGAATTCAGTAGTATGTTTAAATGAATAAAATAACAATATTTCAGGACCAGGAGACTTTTGTTAATACTAACTGTTTGTAATGTGCAGAGACTGAGTTTGTGCATGGAGACTGTGAACACTGAGCAGCTCCCAAGGAGTCCATCTTACCAAGCTAAGCTGAGATCACAGGCTTTGTCAAGGCTCGCAGATGTGCTGCCTATGACTTCATTAACATAATTGATTAGGAGCTAGGACATATTTAGTATTAATCAAGCTGTTTTTACTGAAACTGATTATGCCAGTCCTCTTGATGCACTATTTTGGTCTGGAACTTCCTCAGGACTAAGTTGCAAGAAAAAGGCTTTATATAAAAAGGAGAAACTTACATGTAGCAATAGATGATGCCATTTGGTTTGAGAAATATAGTTTAGATTATAGGAGTATAAACATTTCAATTTTAATGGTTTCAAAAAGTACTACTTATATATAGATTGAATCATTAAATTTGCTCACAGGAGTTTGGAAACAATTTAGAAACATTATCAGTAGAAATCTGAAAACTCCTAAACCTTGTTATGGGTAAAAGTGCTCCACATTTCTGTAAAGCCTTTAATAGCCTTTGTTGAGCTTTCATAGCATTAAAAAATAATAATAATGGTTTCTCACGGCACTTGCTCTGTACTGGTAAGTGTCATGGTACTTCTTACCTCCAACCACTTACTATGTGCCTCCAATTTGTGTCATGCCTTCCTTGGGTTCACTCTCTGTCCACTGCACACTTTGTACACCACAGTGAAGAACTTATTGCCTTGAATCTTTGAACACAAAGGAGCTAATTGTATATTACATCACTTCTTCCTTTGACTCGTTCTATATTTTTATAGCATAGGTGCCTAGGGAAAATTGGCCATGATAACTTTGAAAACATTTTGCTTAATAGCCACTCCAAGGAATCATTGGCTCGTTGTTGTCAATTAATATTTAATTCTGGACATAGCTTAACTAGAACAAACTTAGAAATGGATTTGGCAAGTATAATATTGATTCTTAAAATCTTTCAAAAATTATTAAATTTTGAGACAATTAATTTTCACATCTTTCAGGACTCTCACCAGGTTTGAAAGACCCACAGTTTCAAAAGCCCCGAGGAGTTATTAATTTATTATGCAAATACAGCAGATATATGTGAGTTTATTTCCCTCCCCCTAAAGAAGTAATATTTTGAAACACTAACATTAAAGGTGGTTTTGACCCTTAGCATGAGAGCCCTCTCATCACCAAATGTTAGTCAGCATTTCCACTAAAGGCTTACCCCAAGAACTGTAAATCTTAGGGAAAATTATCCCCACGCTCCTTTATAGGATCCTCAGTAATTAGAAAAGACAACTTCAGGCAGTCATCCCCTCCCCAATCACCATGAAATGTGGAAAAAACTGTTTAATATAGTTCTTGTATAGGCAATATTATCAGATCTGGTTCCATTCATCTTCAAACAGTTATTCTGAAAAACATTTTTTTTTCTTTCCACCTACTCAACAAAGAGCTCTCCCAAGCCTTATTTTTGTTATTGATAACTAAGGAATTAAAACCTTCCACCCACAAGCAATTAATGGGCATTTATGTATATTATAAGTTTCCTTACTCTAGAGAGAAGACCAGTCACACTGCCCAATTTCACTTTGGATACTAATCAGTCGAGTAATCTTGAGACTAAACTTTAATGGTACCTCAAGTCTTTCTTTGCTTTTATATTCATTTTTTTTTTCTTTTTTTCTTCCCAGATGGTGGATTAGTAATGAGCTTTCTTAGTGACAAAGGAAAGCCTCCATTGCTTTGCCAATAGCCACTATGGAAGTATAAAGCATGGTTATGTTTTGATAAAGATGTCTAATTTGTTTTGTTGGGGCAATGGGTAATCCCATGAAGCATTCAGTGAAATATGAAAGTTAGTTGTACAGGTCACAAAGATTATAAAAGTTAAGAGGAAGATGAACTATGAATGAGGTGAGGCCATGTATTGAAACTATAAGCCCTGTATTGGGTCATAAAGAGTAAGTTAGTTGGATTTATGTAGATTCAGAGGAGAAAGGAGCATCATACAAAATTTAATATAAGATTATTTTTTACCACAGGATGCATCAGAGGACAATGTTCTACAGGAGCTAGTAATGTTTTATTTACAATTCTATTAAACTGAGAACTTTACCACCTTGGCTCTTCAGTGAGATATATCCTGAGAAGCAAAAACATAAAATAATAAAATAGAAATTTTTCCTCACTTCTTATTCCATTAACTTCATGACACAATAGGTTTTATCAGGCCAATAAAATATTTTTTATTTGTTTTGTGGTAAAATAAGCTCACAACTTTTGGTGATTTTTTAATGGAATGAACCTTTAGTTATTATAAATTTTCATAAAATGTGTAAACCAAACTTTTAGTACCTACTTAACTCAGAAAGTTGCTAAGGAAACTAAATTAAATAATGCATATAACAACTCATTGCCTAGCACGGTTAGGAATGCAACTATTAGTTGCTGTTATTATAATTTTTTACATCAGAAAATTACTTACATTATAGCAAATTATTAATCTTTATGTTTTTTATTAGTGTCTATATAATGTAATTAATTAATTGCATTTATGAGATTTGTCAGTATACCTGAAATTCTTATATGAAATTTAGTACAGGATTGGGATTGTATCCTGAAAGGCTTTGTACACACCTCCTCACACTTTCTACACTTCCTCATAGATTGTGAGATGCTTACACAGTTGAGCAGAGAAGACTATGACTTGATTTACCTCTTAGAGCATTGTGTCATCTATAGAAGAGATGAATTGGTGAGGTCTGGGCCTGAAGGTTTGGAGGACAAGACACATTTAGGAGACAACAATTCATGGGGAAAAATTATGCTACTGTTGTTCTAAAGAATCACATTTTACTCTAGAAACAGCTCCAAGCAGTGAATATAATATAATTATTTCACAAAGATCAGAGAAATCAAGTAAATTGCATAAGATAGCACAGATATAAAAATGGTGTAATTGCAATTGGAAACCAGGTGTATCTTAACAAGGCTTAGTCTATTTCTATTAGAATGGCAATTAAGTGTTAGGGCTCATCATAATTTCTAAAGTTCTTATCTGACTTGGGTAAATGAATGGCATTAAGAAAAAGAACAGTTTTTGAAAGATAATAATGAGTTCAATTTTGGGCTTGCTGAGTGTATCAGGGTTCCTGGAACACTCAAATGTGTGATTAAGAGTTTAATGAGTAAAATATTTATCAACGTTTGAGCACTCCAGGGTTAACCCAAGCAGGAAGCCCTTATCAACCATAATGTGAAGAGGCAGGGGATGAAGTTGTATTTTTTTGTCACAGAAAGCCTTATAACTTAGCAAAGAGATGACCAAACAAAACAATGTTGTATCCTTCAGTGGGGAACACACCCAACAATGCACTATAAAATGGTATATGTAGAGGAAACTAGGGAATAAATGCCTATTTCTCTCTCTCTCTCTCTCTCTCTCTCTCTCTCTCTCTCTCTCTCTCTCTCTCTCTCTCTCTCTCTCTCTCTCCCTGCTTTATTATCTCTTAATGTTGCACCACAGGCCAAAATAACCCCAATCCAGAGAGCTTTAGGATTATTTAATACAATCCATAAAGGTTAAGGTGGAGACTGGACATGGGGAGAAAAATGAAGATGGCCACATCAGGGAATATTTTTGTCTTGGATCACACAAATCACTTCAAGTGGACAGCTGAATACTATAGGGGTATCAGGAGTTCACAAATGAGGGATGTACAGTTAATGGGGTCATAAACTTAGCACAAATTTTTTGTGAAGTATCTTATGAGCAACTCTATTTCTATGATATTCTTGGTAGAAAAAAAGTTTTATGATGGAATACTTTCAGACAACTTTAATCTACTTCCTGGACATTCAGAAAATACTCTTGTATATACCAATGTATCCAATAAACACTCTGGATTAAAACAATTATGCATAATTTTTTAACTCGATGATTTCCATTTTGTGTGTATGTCTCTGTGTGTTTCTTGATCACAGAAACATTTCCATTCCTAATGACACTAGTCAATCTCCCAAGGAACAACTGATCTCAACAACATTTGGTCCAAATATATTAGAATAGTAGGTTCACCCTGAGTATAGGTGAACCTATTTAGTATACAGTCTATCTAAGAAGAGAAATACAGGGGAACATTAGTCTGGCTTCTCCAAAGAAACAGAACTAACTATTCGATTGGATCTGTATCTATATATTGTTTTCTCTCTCCCTACCAATCCAGGAAGAGATTGATTAATTTTAAAGTATTGGCTCATGCAACTGTTGGGGCTGGCAAGTCTGATATCTGTAGGATATGGAGGCAGGATGGGAACCTGGGGAAGAGTTGATGTTGCTGTTTTGAGTCTGCAAATTTTGAAAGAACATTCCTTTTTCATTCGCAACCTCTTCTCTTAAGGCCTTCAGTGTTGACTGCTTCTACATTAATGGGGACAATCCACCTTGCTCATAGTTTACTAAAATAAATGTTAACTGCACCTAAACAAAGATCTTTGTAGAAACATCCAGATTGGTCTTTGACCAAATAAATGTTACCTTATCTTACTGAGTTAATGCATTAAATTCACTATTGCAAATATCCTCAGAAGACAGAATAAGAACGTCAAGGATGTTAGAATATGAAGTAGGAAAAGGTCCAACAGTGCCAAGTGCTCCAGATATGGATAGAGCACAAAGACTGAGTGGGACCATTAGATTGATCAGAAATCATCATAATCTACTTCAGCCTCTCTGTTTTCTCTCTGGCAAATATACACTAAGTTGTATTCATGAGTTTAAACTCAAGTTCCAAATGTAAAGTTTAGTCTCATATAGCTCTCAAAGACTTTTTTCATCAGCAGGGTGATATTTTTGAAATAGAAGATATGTTAAATCTATTACAGCTCCGAGATTTTATCATGCTTTTCTTATTCAATCCTTTTCCCTTCACAGAAACCATTTATTTCATTTTTTTTTTTTTTTTTTTACTGTGGGCTAATCAATACCATCAAATGAAAACAGATGTTTTATTTCAGAGGCTTAATCCTTCCAATATTATGTTGCTGTTCTGGTTAATTTTTTTTTTTCAATGGTTTTACATTGCAGAAGAATTGTGAAGGTAACACAGAGAGTTCTTGTATACCCTTTAGCAAATTCCTCTAATGTTAGCATCTTATAAAACTCTGGTTCATTTACCAAATCTAAGAAATTAATAACAGTGCAACATTGGTAACTGAAAAAACAGACTTTGACTTTAGCCTTCCAATGGCTTATAAAATAATTTTTCTTAAAAAAACTATTACTTACATGGGTGATGGGGGTCACAAATATTAACAAATTATTCACAACTTTTCTGCGCCATTCTAAGGAATATTCTAGATTTTTCTGGTAAGAACTGTTGTAATTTTGTTCTGAAGATATGCTGGGTGAGCAGAAAAAGTGGAGTTAAATTAATTCTATTTGCACATGCAAGGATTATTTCCCAGAAGAAAACACAGGATCTGAAAGGTGAGGAGAGGTCAAAAGAAGGGGATAGAAGGCACAGAACAGAATGAAATAAGTCCTTATTGGTGCTTTTGGAAGAAAGAGTTTTAGGGAAGTAGCTATGATTAGGGCACCTTGGGAAGCTCAATTAAGAATAGAATGGGCAAGGATTTTTTAGACAAAACTCCTACAATACAGAAAACAAAAGCAAAAATAGACTAATGGGATTGCATCAAACTAAATAGCAGCTAAACAACACAGGAAACAATCAGAGTGAGGAGAAAACCTACTGAATAAGAGAAAACAATTGCAAGCTATACATCTGACAAGCAGTTAATATTCAGCATATGCATGGAATTCAAAAAAACTCAATAGCAAAAACTTAAATAATCTGATTTAAAAATAATTAATAAAGCTACACAGAAATTTCTCAAAAAAGGCATATCAAGTGGCCAACAGATATAATTACAAAAATACCCAAAAACACTACTCATTAGGGAAATGCACATCAAAACCACAGTGAGATATCATCTCATTCCAGTAAGAATGGTTCTTATCAAAAAGACAAAAATACAAGTACTGGTGATCATGGAGAAAAGGGAACCCTTGTACACTGTTGGTAGGAGTGTAAATTATTATAGCTATCATGAAAAAACCATATGGAGGTCCTTCAAAGATTAAAAGTTGAAGTACCATATAATCCAAAAATCCCACTGTTGGGTATTTATTCAAAGGAATAAAATCAGTGTGTTCAGGGACACTGGCACCCCAATATTTACTAAGGCACTATTCACAATAATAGCCAAGATAGGATACCAACATAAGTTTCCATCACCTGGTGAATGGATAAAGAAAATACATAAGGAAAACCTGTTTCACTATCTGTTTTGACCATACAGAAATAGTGTGCTTTCACTCTTGAGGTCAAGGAGTGGCACCCAAGCTAAAGTAAAAACAGTAAGGAGAATGTTGACATCACAGCCAACATTCTACCTACTTGCTCATTCATAACTTTTATGTGGTTTGAAAAAATTGTTTTTGTTTTGCATTTTTGTATTATAAAACACCAAAAAATAAGTTAAGGGGAGATGGTTAGTATATCTCAGTGAATATGATCTTGTAATCCCTTTCTTATTATGGAATTCAGATTGCAATTCTTTTTTTTTTTTTTGCCAGCAAATTTTTTCTCATAAAACATTTTATGAAATAAGAGTGGTTTCTTTCAAAGCTCTTGTTTATAAATACTTTATTAAATATCTACTTGCTTCTGTATTAGCTTCATATAAATTCTTTTTCCTACTATGTATTGTTGCAAGTCATGTTATCTTTCCTGTCTATAACCAGTGAGAAAAGTGGTTGCATCTTTGAAACTGGATCTGTTTTGGCCAAACGGAGTCAAGAATCTTGGCAATTATTCATTCAATAAAGAATAATAAATGCTTACTTCAATAAAGTGAGGATTTGTGCAAAAATATTTTTACTCTACAATAAACATTATAATTAATATGTAAAATACAGATATAAAAATATGCTACTTATTTGGTATAAAGATGCTAAAATTTATGTTAATTTGTTAGTTAAAATAAACCCAGTTTGAAATTAAAAGTATTACAACTTGAAAAATTGAATTCTTAGAATAGGCACTTGTTTCATTTTAAGAATTAATATCCATTAGGCATAGTTTTAATATTGAAAGTTTCAATTGAGAATCAAACTTATAAATATGCCAAATATGCTAGTAACTTTTGGTAATTTTAAAGTCAAATCATATTGAAAATAACTATTGAGTCTTTCTGATATATTAATTAAATCAAATCAAAACTTCTCAAGGACCTACTATAAAAATGACAATATCTTTGAAATCATACTTTAAAGTGTATTTTCACTTTGAGTCAACTTTTTCTCTGAAAACCAATAATTTAGTCATGAGAAGGAAAAGCTCAATTTTCCAATGTTTCTAGGCATTCTTGACATTTTAAAATGTAATGAAGTATTTTCACAATCCATTTCCAATTACAGAAAAATGTACAAAAAGCATATAGATAAATACAGGAGTAATGTTATCTAAACAACATGATGTTGAAAATGAAAAACTGTTAGAATCTTGTATTTATGTTTTCCTTACACCTGTAAAAAACACATTGTAAAAGTTCACAATGAAATGTTTTGAGCAAGCATTGATTCTGCCTAAAAATTTAAAAGGTTAAAAGAAATTTTCATGAATCTCCAAATAGCAACATCTATTACCAAACCAAAAAGAGCAATTGTTCATTTCAGTTATTCACAGAGACAAATGCATGGGAC